GAGGAGGGAGCCCCACTTAGATCGAAGCTAGGAACTTTACTTTTGCGGCGTATTGGTGTGTGTGTGGGGGGAGGCAAACTACAGCTTGTAAGAGTGGAGGGGGAAAATGTCCATCCTTTCCTTTTTAGGGGTGTGTATATCCGAATGAAGGCAAAAAAAGCCGAATGAGCGTTACAGTCTCGAACGTGATGTTCATTCAAGTTCACTCTTCTGCAAATCACGCTAATAGAAGTTATCACTTCAAAAAAAATTAAAATTAAGAACTCTTACACTAAAAACCTGCCTTGTAGAGGGGTGGATGTATGTAATATCTCTCGATGTTCAAAATTCTTATGTTCGTGTGGCTGTGAAGTTAGGAGAGTGGGATGCTAGCTCATTCTTGCTTTTTGACTTGTGAGGCCTATAGAAAATAAATGCTTTGAAATGCGATGTCAATCAGTGATCAGACAAAAAGTAATGAACCATGAATACTGAATTATTCAATCAAAAGATTCAAACACAAAATTTAACAAAACAAACAAATGACTGTTTATTTTGAGTTGGTTAGTAAAAGGTTTCGCTGTTTTTATTTTATTCGGCTGTTATAAAAACCATGCGTCCTTTAAAATGACATATTTACAATACTTCTAACAAACTCAATTATTCAAAAAGCCAATTCAAATATTTTAAAGCATACCTTATTAAGCAGCCACATTTAACGAGTCATAAGCGGCTGTACTAGTTGATTGCTGAATAATGGTCACTGCATACTGAATAACGGGCGGTGATGGGCGGTGCACGGAATCATTTTGAAGAAATGTAAATTTGAATTCACACTTTCAAGGAAGAGCATATCAGAAATTAACCAACATTTTACAAGAGCTGTAATACATCTTTATAGTTCAAATATTTCAAGCATAATTTATGAAACAGATTGTTTTTAGATAAAACCAGACTTGTAAGACCAGACATAACTTACAAGCAGCTCTCAAAAATCTTATGCAAGTATAACGGCATTTTAAAACTACTTGTACGGGCATGGGTAGCCTAGTGGTTAGAGCTTTGGACTCCAGACTGGAAGGCCTGGGTTCGATGCCTGATGCCACCAAATACCCTCCGAGTACACCCGGAGTACGTGCTCGTTAAATCAGTAGGTTGGAAAGTCCTGTGGATGGTTGCAGCAGAAACCACTGATTCAGGGGGCTAGAGAATATTTCCCTCCCCTCCAGTTTCATGACTAAATTGTAGAGATGGATATAAATGGTGTCGCCATCTGTCGTAAAAAAGTCCAACCTGTCTCAGGCTCTGGCAACTTTATCCCTTCTCTTCGGGAAGGACACGACAACAACAACGTGTACATATATTTTCAACCTTCCCTGATTGTATTATATATCAAGTAAATTTCTCTTCTGAATTCCTTTCCTTAACAACGAGCCGGAAATTTCAAAGGCGCTCACTGGTTTAAATTTAAATGAAAGCTTATAACATTTTAAACATTGGCCTTTACATAACTATTCTATATAAAAAAAAGGTTCTTATTTTCCATTTGTGCTAGTCTTGATTTGTTGTTGCTTTTTTGTGAGGGGGGTTGTGAAAATATTCAGCAGAAAATACTTTTGCATAAATAAACGATTAAACCATCTTGGATTCATATACCTTTCACAATCAATACAAAAAATGATCTATTGTTGACTTTTTCAAATAAGGAAATATAAAAGACAAGCTTTTCCCTATGATTATCGGCTTTCTAATAACATTCGAACACAAAAAGATCACAAAAAGGGGCATTTTCGAACGAAGAATTCGGAATTGAATTGGGAAACGAGCAAAGGAGAGAAAATCTTTGAAGTTATAAACATGAAAATTTCTTTTCAAGTGATAAGAGCTACTTTGAGATGCTCTGATAAGAGTAGTCCAATTTCTTATTTTTTTCCCCCGCACTTCTCACTAGATATCTCCCAACTGCTTCTCCTCCGCCACTCGTTGCCATGGTTACGAAACAGCTCATTCAAACGATAACTATATGTGTGTTTGTGGTTGCACACACACACAAAAACCCAGCCGAGATACGAACAAAATGTGAGAGAATAAACTTATTGTATCTATTGTAGTATATGTGGGAGTGAAAACATGTTTCTGGGTCGCGATTTTTGTTGTTAGCATTTATTATGATTGTATTCATAATTTTATTTTTTTTCGGATATTAATTTTGGGATGAGTTGTGAGATGTAATATTCATTTTTTAACGGGTGTTATAATATAATTTTCTATAGAGAAGAGTTTTTTTTGGAAATGTTTCTAATGATGATCGTTCGCTTTTAGATTATTAGGGATTGTATGATTATTTTTGTTTAGATTACAATAGGAATTGAACGATTTTCGGTTACAATAGGGATTGTATGATTTTGCGTTACTATAAGGATTGTATAGTTTTAGGTTTCTATTAATTATAATATTTCAAACAGTTTACTAATAATTATATGGTTGTTATTTCTAATGCCACCTGCCTCACGTAGTCAGATCGAGGCCTACGAAATTCATCGTGGCAAGGGGCTAGAAGTACACCTGTCGTTGGCCTTGAGCACCATATAGATGACAGTACGATTTAGCTCGGCGAAATCCCCCGAAGGGACGATAGATGGTGACACCACCTATCTCCACCTCCACAATTTCTACATTGAACTGAAGGGGAGGGAAATATTTTCCAGTCCCTGCGCTCGTGACTCAGCCCACAAGACTTCGGACCAACTGATTTAACGAGCCCGTACTCCGTGTGTACTCGGATGGTATTTGGTGGCATCGGGCATCGAACCCATTCCTTCCGGTCTGGAGTCCAATGTTGTAACTACTAGGCTACCCACGGTCGATTATATGGTTACATTTTGTTAATGATTGCACAGTTTTAGATTATTAAAGATTGTAAGATTTTAGTTTAATAATGAATGTTAAGTCTGCTGTCACAGTTTATTAAATGGTTTTAAATTATCAAAATAATTGTGCGTGATTTTAATTTATTGATAATTGTAATTTTAAATTCCTAATCTATAATATTAGATTAAATAAATATTTTAAACTACAGAAACTCCTTAACTGTTTTACTCCTGTTAAAATATTTATCACTGTTAACTATTTTAATTTAAACATTTATTTAATTTATTGTGTATGTGCAATTTAAATAATTTTTCGAAAAAAAAGAATTAATGAATTAAAATTTTGAAATTAAGGAATTCAAGAAAAATAAAGAATTAAATGTTGCCCTGAAACGAGAACTTATGATTACATATGTATATTACTTAAACTTTTTTTAACAAGAATGTTGCGATAAAGAATTTCATTTGATGGATTAGATTTTACAGAACTTGGAACTACGTTTTTAATAAAGGTTTTTTTTACTTTTAAAAAAATGCTGTCTTACTTCTATGTAGAAAAAGAAAAAAGTTACTATCATCACTTCGTGATGTGTAGGGCATGAAATTTTACTTAATTATTTTTAGCAATAGGTAATATTGATTTTCTTCCAGCTTGTAATGTTTTGATCAACTAATTAAATAGTCAATAATCATTTTCTAAAGTCAAAGCTGGATTTTTCATGAAATTTGAGTTTGCAGTATTTTTTTAAGAATCTAGCCCTTTTTATAAAGGGGAGAAGTAAAATTTCATTTTATAACGTTATTTAAATATGCTTATAAATATTTTGATTTATGCTCCCTTTGTGATTTCAGTTAATTTACACAGAAGGAAAAAATATTCAAAATTTTTCCAACATTAGAAACTAAAACTCAAAAATCTTTAGCAGATGACCGCAACGATTATGCAGTTTCATTTTTTTGAGAAAATGATATGACTTAAGGAGAGATATTCGGTTTACTAACACATTGGTATAAAACTCTTAGACTGGAATTAGAAATACACTTTTAACTTAAGATATTCAAATTACAATGGATAATTTTACTTAGTGTTAGTCATTAAAAAAACAACTAAAAATACTTAATGTTTTAGAACTAGTAGGTGAGATAGGGATTTTTTTTCATACTTTGCGGCAGCCTCGTTAAGTTGGTCATGGTCACTAACTCAGGGAGGGCGCTGTATGATTGGTGCCTCGTATGACCTGCCGTGTAGAAGAGGTGGTACACGATAAAATATGCAGTAGCTGCAAGTCCTCAAGTTGGCATGATGTGGAAGTTTGGAGAATGGGTTATCACTCCTGCGTCACCCTCATCATTTGATCATGTCTCAACATTGCGAGATCTGCAGCGGCTTCAAAGTCTGACGTATGTGACAACGGTAGCTGAGTAGTCACGAACGCGTCCTCTCTCGGGTTCGAAACCTAGTGCCGTTGAAGGTCCTCTGTGTACAAGGGCTGATACACATTAAATCTACACAGGCTCAAAGTCCCCTTGGTGCGTGCTTAGATGTTGTCCTCGTCACCTGACCATGGTTAGAGATTACAAGGTCCGTCTCCAATAGCTGTCTTGTTGCTTAACGGTGCGAAGTAAATTCAAGCTAAGTGAGTGGTTAGTGAACAATTAATCAGTCGACCCATTTTTTTCTCACATCTTAAACATATTAAAAAATGTACTCTCGTGAATGTGAAGGACAAATAAGAAATCTTTTAAACATACACCATCAAAGGTTACAGATTTATAAAAAACAATTTGCGAGATTTTTTGAAAACAGTTATTACTGAAAGTAGCACGTCACTGCACTTCACTACAGTTTAAGAACAATTAACATGAAAAACAAATTTTTATTCCATTCCTACTTAGGTCAATAAAGAAAAGTTTTATTTTAGTTACTTTTTATTAAATAGTTACAATTAATATGAATGTGTATAAAGACAGAATCACATTACGTATTAAGTGACAAAATAAGAAGCGATTTTCCTTGCAATTTTTCATTTTCCCTTTTATATAGGGTGTTGGACTCTTATCTTTGTTTGTTAGTACTTATTCATTAATTAAATTTAATTATTCTAATAAAATAGTTCAGTAGAAAAGAAATCACATTCTCAGAAATTAGGCCATTACAGGTAGGATTCGAACTTACGACCTTTGGATTAGATGTCCAACATGGTGCCCATTGCACTTCAAGGACACAACGAACGATTTCCCTTTCTATATAAGATGTTATACTATTATTTTTGTTTGTTTCTATTTATTCATTAATTACATTCAATTAATGAATTAATATTTGAAAAAAAACTGCATTAATATCAAGTGTCCTCCACTACAAGTTTAAAAAAAATGTATTTGATTTGGAATGGATGAACAGAAAGTATTTTATTAACGATTGAAAATTTAAACAAGATTTACATAAATAAATGCACACATATGGGGAGAATGTGAACTATAGTAGGAATTGAAAAAGAGAGAGGTAACTTGCTGATACCGATTTTATGGCTTGATATACGAGTGCATCTATTACTCAAATGATATTTTTTTTAATTAGAAGTTGTTTTGTGCATTATTATTGATTGGAAAGAATAAAATATAAGCCCCAAAAATAAGCATTCTCTTCAAATTGTTCCATGAACATAATACTGACAAACTGGCGCAGTATTTATTCTTGAATTTCATTTATTAATTTATGCTCTTTCTGGATATGTAATGATAAAATTAACTACTAATTTTTCTAAAACGTATTAAAGTATAAATTTTCGTGAATGGTTTAATAGAAGTGGCAATCCATAAACAAAACTATTTGCATTCTATAACTTATTGTGGGGCCTCAATTTCTGAAACAATAGAATAAATTTACTCCAAAATAATGAAATGCAAACAATGATTCACACAAGACCTCTGAGGGATAATCAAGAAGGGGGAAAAAGAAGAGCAATTAACCCTAATTATTTCAATTCCTGCATTCTATTCCGAATGAGGAAATAAAGAAAAAGGCATGCTAATTCATTCTTGCGCTCAAATTGGTTCTATTGTCTCACTTAATTCCTATCCACTATCGATACACTCCTTAACGAAGTGATCATCCAATCCTAGCAGACGACATTACGAGACAAGGGAAAAAGATATTTTTTTCTCCGCCATTTTTTTTGGTTCGTTTTCGTAATTGAATTTACGTGAGAGTTTTCTTTGTGTTTTGTACAACTGAAGCGCTTTTTGATATAAAATAAAATAAAAATTGAACCATTTCTGTATGCATGTATCAGTTTTCAATTATTTTTCTAAACTGAATAATGTACAGTCAAACGCCGAATTAACGAATTTATTGTTTGAACCTGGTACCTTTTCGGTTTCGTAGCTAGACAAATGTGATCACCTTTGTCTGGAGGCTGTTACTGGCTTATTTAGATACCGCTACAAATTCATCGGGACAGAATATTTTATTCATTAATTCGGATTTATTCTTAACAAGGGTGTCAAGAAAAATATAAGTTTTACTGTTTACCTTTTATAAATTCTTTAATAAGCAACTACACCTAAAAGTACCCATTAGTGAACTATGGGTACTTTTAGGGTACTTTTACTCACCAATTAATTGGGAATTATAAAATACTGACTCAGAAATCTTTGGGAATAATTTTTGGTATTAGACTCGAATCAGTTTTTCTTTCTGCTTTCTGCATGTACATCTTTCTGCATGAGGTAAATTTTCAGTTTCCAAACATTAGGAAATCGAACAATTTTGGTAGGAGTTTTATTATAAATGTCTGCCTTCCTGCACAAATTTTCGAAACAAAATTATCTGCAAAACCGTACGCATAATAATAAACCTCACTTATCTTAAGGTACCCGACAACTTTTTATAAAAAAAAAATAGAGACATGGAGACTTATTTGAAGTTTTTAGATTTATTTAGTACATTTTAATAAAAAAAGGCTAAAATTAAGGGAAAAATAAATTATTACGGAAAAATTTGACAAAAAATCACATAAACGGGGCCCTCTCAGTACAAATAGTAAATGAGCAAATTCTCAATTTTTCAAACTTGACGTGTTACTTTGCTATTCCTTTTTGAAATGACCATCAGGTTAAGAGATATTTCAATTTTTACAAAAAACTAGAGCACTTTATCTTAGTTATTATATAAAATTGCTTAAAAGATAGTGATTATATTCACATAAAGAACTGTAAATTTTGTAATAAAACAGTGATTGATGCATCTGAACGTTAAAACACTTCTACTGTTATACAAAATATACACACAAAATTACAGCAAATTGTTTAAGAAATTTTTTGAGAAATCACTGTACCCGTTTGAGCTTTTTGAAGAAAACACATTTCGAGTAAAATGCATTTTAAAGTTTGACATCTTATGTAAAGTTATGGCATCTGCATTTAATAAAGCGCTTGTAGTTTTTGTTCTAATGTATGGAAAATAAAAACCTTGGTATTTTTATAAAGCTAATTAGATGGCCTATGAAATAAAATCATAAAAAAGTGTCAATTTTTTTTTAAAAAATCATGATTTTAGGGTTGCGGATATCTTAAGAAATAGAGCAAATGTTAAAACTCTCTTGAAATAACCCCTGCATTGTGCAGTGGGATAAGAAAGGAGTTTCCGATCTATTTAAAACTGACTCCTGATAGGTTACACTCAAAACTTATCTGCATCTGTGAAGTCTAAAAATGGGTTGCATCCTTTCCTCTCAAAGTTTGCTGAAACAAGAAAAAAAAATTTCTGTTACGCACAAAAAGGAGACGTCACTTGGAAATAAATCCAATATCTTCTAATTCAAACTAATAAAAAAAAGTTTTTGGCTGTCGAAATATAATTTGTTCATTTGGGGTGTTTATATTATTACTAGCCGTTACCCACCCGCTTCACTGGGTATTTTCCGATGTTGTATATATGTATACTGTTTACATATACATTAATTATTGATATCTAGAATTAAGAATTCCATTGTATTGAAAAATATATTTATAGCTGTTACACTCTCGCCCCTTGATATAAAAAGAACATAAATTATAATATCTAATTTCTATTTATATCTAAAATAGAAAGAGAAAGACTGTTTTCGCTCACTTAACCTAACAATCAAGGGGATTTTCACCAAAGCAATTTCAGTGGATCTCTACTCCATAAAATAAACATGCGTGCTAAATTTCAAGTATAATCTAACAGAGCAAAAAACGGAATTTTTATCATCAATACCTCGTTGACAGCATTCTTAGAGGATTCCAATTCAACAAAAGAAGCATGCAAACCAAAATTTATTTTTATAGTCTTAGCAGTTCGAAAACGGGAATTTTGTCTATCAATACGCCCCAATAACTCTCCCCGCTTCCCACTGCAGTTGATTTCCGTAAAATCCATTCTTAGTGGAACTCTATTCAACTAAAGAAAAGTGCTCAACAAATTTCAAATAAATGAGTTAAATTCAAAAACAGAAATTTTTCTATAACACGCCTTAATCCGTCGCAACCTCACTCCTTTGGGGGTCTGTTTTCGCAAAAATCTTTGTAAAAGGAACTTTATTCCATGAACGGAACATACCTTCTAATTTTCAAGCAGGTGGTTGTATTAGTTGAAAAGCGGAAATATTTATCTATTATACGCCCCTTAATCCCCCTCAGTGACCCTTGGGGATCAATTTTCCCCAAAACTATTTTGTAGCGGATCTCTACACCATGAAAGGAATTCGCTTACCAAATTTTAAGACTGTACATTTAATAGTTTAAAATGGTAATAATTATCTATAACGCCCCTTAAGCCTCCGGAACGCCACTTAGGAAACGATTTTCACAAAACCCATCTTATGACAGATCACTACTCAGTGAATGGAATCTGCTTACTCAATTTCAAGTTTTTACGTCTAATAGTTTAAAAAAGGAGTTAATTGCCTATAACGCCCCTTAATTCTCCACAAAGCCACTTGGGTTCAATTTTCACAAAACCCATTTTGTAGCGGATCTGTACTCTATCAAATGAATAATCTTTTCAAATTTAAAGACTGTACGTCTAATAGTTTAAAAATGGAAATAATTATCTATAACGCCCCTTAAGCCCCCGCAACGCCACTTAGGAAACGATTTTCACAAAACCCATCTTATAGCGGATCTCTTCTTAATGAATGGAATCAGCTTACTAAATTTCGAGATTTTACGTCTAATAGTTTAAAAAGGAGTTAATTGCCTATAACGCCACTTAATACTCTACAACGCCACTTGGGAGTTGATTTTGTCAAAACCCCTTTGCAGCGGAACTGTACTCTATGAGAAGAATCCGCTTACCGAATTTCAAGACTGTACATCTAATAGTTTAAAAATGGAAATAATAATTTATAACGCCCCTTAAGCCCCCGCAACGCCACTTAGGAAACGATTTTCACAGAACCCATCTTATAGCGGATCTCTTCTTAATGAATGGAATCAGCTTACTAAATTTCGAGATTTTACGTCTAATAGTTTAAAAAGGAGTTAATTGCCTATAACACCACTTAATACTCTACAACGCCACTTGGGAGTCGATTTTGATAAAACCCATTCTTTAGTGTATCTGTAATCTATTAAAGGAATCCGCTTACCAAATTTCAAGACTGTAAGTCTAATAGTTTAGAAATAGAAATAATTATCTATAACGCCTCTTAAGCCCCCGCAACGCCACTTAGGAAACGATTTTCACAAAACCCATCTCATAGCGGATCTCTACTCAATGAATGCAATCAGCTTACTAAATGTCGAGATTTTACGTCTAATAGTTTAAAAATGGAGTTAATTGCCTATAACGCCACTTAATTCTCTACAACGCCACTTGGGAGTCGATTTTCACAAAACCATTATGTAGGGGATCTGTACTCTATGAAAGGAATCCGCTTACCAAATTTCAAGACTGTACGTCTAATAGGTTAAAAATGGAAATAATTATGTATAACGCCCCTTAAGTGCCCTCAACGCCCCTTGGAGGTCAATTTCCGTAAAAATCATTATGTATAGAATCTCCACTTTAAGAAAGAAATCTGTGTACCAAGTTTTTCACGACTGTACATCTAATAGTTTAGTAATGGAAATAATCATGTATAACGCCCCTTAACACCCCGTAACACCCCTTGGGGTAGAACTTTGCAAAATCCGTTCTTAGCTAACGTTTACTCCATGAAGGGAACCTACCTACCAAATTTCAAGTCTGTA